TAGACTGAAAAATAAATCTAAAAAGTGGATTTCTTATAAAAACAAATTAAAATAGATAAACTCCCAGATAATACAATAAAAGTAAAAATAGAAAAGAAAGTGCCATACCTGAGTTTATTTCTTGCTTAATTAAAAGTGAAGAAAAAAACAATATGGATGACAGTTTACACAAAAGATGCTATGTGAGGGCACAAGTTATAAGTTACATAATTGAAAATAATCTAAATGTTCAAAGACAGGCTATTATAATATATCCTATTTTATATGTATTTAATCAAATGACATCCTATCATTAAGAAACATATTGTAGAATAATATTAAATAGTTAACATAAAATTTCAGTTTGTTAGAAAGTGAAAAAAAACCTGCACATAAAAATGCAGAGTATCGTTTTACATTTTTTTAAAAAAGTAAAGGTATGTATAAAATACATAATAAAAATATATACTCAAACATTAAAAATCAAATTTTCCCTAAGTGGAGAGATTACAGATTTTTTTTCTTTATGCTCAGTTATATGTTCTAACTTTAAAGACATAGAATGCAAGTTTAAAATGTTGCTATCTGCATTAAGATTGCCTTCTTTTTCCTCCCTGACCCACTCTTCTCTCCCTAGGAGTTTGCCCAGCAGCTCATAAATGGGTGAGTGAGCTCCGTGGCTTCCCTGGGCATGGCAGCAGCTGATGGGGCCAGAGGTACACACCTGCCCCAAGCTGGGCTCATTAGATCCTCTCTCCTGAGAATTTCAAATTGGGATTCAGAATCAGCAGTCAGTTAACTGTGAGAGTGAGAATTACACAAACAAACCTGGGGAACAGGGGCTGTCATTTGAGTGTGACTATTCAAAAGCCATTTGTACTGCTGAGCAGGCAGGAGAGTTTGGTCTGCCAAGAGAATAATCAATGGTAACAACAATGGATGTCATTCATTGTGTGCTCATTATGTGACAGGCAGTCTTCTAAGCATGCTGTATGGACTAACTCATTGATGGGCACATCTAACTTTTGAAGTAGATACTATCATTATCCTCATTGTACATGTGAGGAAACCAAGACACAGAGAGATTAGATGAATTAGAGAACAGTGCAGAGGGCAGAGAGATGAGGAACCATGTGGTCTCAGAGAGGCAGAGACCAGAAGAGTGGTTTCCTTGTGCCTCTGGGCATCGCAGGTCCTAGTTCTAGTCCCTTGTGAGGTCTATTTGTATTTCCTGCCATCTGTTTCCAAGAGATTACTCTGACTCCTTAAGCTAAACTCCTTGTTCTTCACAAGCTTGAGTGGATAACAGTTTCTTGCAGTTGAACAATCCTTGGCTAAGAGGGAGTATATGCTGGGGGTGACTACATATAAAGTGTCTTTGATATTTTTGAACTCTTCATGTTGTCTTTGAAAGCAGTCCAACAGAGGAAATAAAATATTGCTAGAATTCACCATAAACAACCACATACAATACATGGCATCCATTCTCCCAAGTCACAAATAATTTTAGAAAGTATTAAAAAAAATGCCCACTAAAAAGAGAGTACTTATTGAAAAACAGCCCTTGAGAGACTGCGGAAATCTCTAGGCACTCTCCTTCCTTTGCACAAAATGCATATTTACATAAATCTTTATATACTATTTTGCAAGAGTTCACATATTTTAGTGTTGCTACCAACTTCAGGATGAGAGGCTATTGCTTACAAAAATTGCAATTTTTTTAGGTTATGTGTTTGTACAGTTTTGAGTTAGTATCATCTAACCAGAGTGTTGAATGTTTTAATAGCTTCTAGTCTAACTTTGTCAATCTCTGGATGGAGGACAATTCAAGGGAGCCAAAAGAGCATTGCCGGGGAAGGAATATAGAGACTGGAGCTTCGGAAATGATTATCAGTGCCAAGAAAAATGGTTACTGCAAGGCGTTAAAAGTAGAGAATAATTTCCTTTTCTGAGTCTCAACACTCAAACTCTTTTCTTCCTAGCTTTTAGGATATACAGTGGTTCCCTCTTATCCAGGGGGGTTACATTCTAAGACTCTAAATGGATACCTGAAACCATGGATAATACAGAACCTTGTATATACTATGTTTTTTCTTATACATACATACCTATAATAAAGTTTAATGTATAAATTAGGCACAAAAAATAAATTAACAACAATAAATGACAGTAAAATAGAACAATTATAACACTATGCCGCCCCACTACTCCTGCACTTTGGAGCCACTATTAAGTAAAACAAGGGTAACTGGAACACTACCACTGCGATACTTCAACAGTGGATCTGATAAGCGAGACTGCTACTGAGTGACTCACAAGTGGGTAGTGTAGACAGCACAGATACACTGAACCAAGGATGATTCACAACCCAGGCGGGATGGAGTGGGATGGTGTGAGATTTCATCACGCTACTCAGAATGGTGAGCAATGTAAAACTTATGAGTTCTTTATTTCTGGAATTTTCCATTTAATTTTTTTGGACTGTGGGTAGCAGAAACCACAGAAATCAAAACCGTGGATAAGAGGACACTGCAGAAAGCTCTCTCCTTCTGGAGGTAGTTTATGTTTCAGTATGGTATTTGTCACAATTACTGAAAACTAGATACACTTGCCTTGGAGCAATAGGAAGTGTTTTTTCCCTCTGTGTTTCTTGTTTTGGTGTAGCAATGGCTATGTAAAACAGCTGGATGGATATTCTTACATAGAGGACGCAAAGAAAATTCAGTGGCCAAATATCCAGATGAAAAGAGAAGCATTCAGTTAATCATCTGGATGTTTTGTCTACACGAGGAGAAATTTGTGGATGTTTTCAAATATTTGAGAAAATATTTGGGAACATCCAGATGTTTGGCCTTATGCAGCTCAAACATTCAGATGTTTGACTAAATTTTGCCTTCCAACCGGATGCTTCGGTATCAAATAGACCCAGTCTTGGTTATAGTAATTACGCATTGTTAACTGGTGTCACAGAAAGTTTTTTGGTGGAAACACATGACACACAAAAGTGTGGAAGTTATAGATAATCATAAACATTACTAGTGAGGAAAGAAAGAGGGAATCACACCTCTGATCAATAGAGTTGCATCATCACTAATATAAATTGGCAACAGTAGTGTTCTCTTTGCAGAAGGCCTAATAATTAGGAATAATAAACTTAAGCTGGTGGCTCTTGCTGATGAAAACGAAGCCGGTAGCACTTACAGTGTTTATAAAACTTGAAACATGTAAAAAGGAACGTTCTCTGCTTTGAAATGAGTTGAAAATTCTAAACTTCATGGAAACGGGTTGAATGAGAGTTCAGTTTCCTCCTCTTATTTTAATGTGACCCTGCAGTGTCTCCGATTACAGTGTTCTTAAACTTGTGGGAATCAGCCTAATAAAAATACTGTAAAGAAGTACAGCTCATCCCTCAGCTGTGGGCCGGCTGTGTAGATTACCATGGTGCAGGAGTCAGGGTCTGCCTCCAGAAAGCAGACTCCGTTTTCTACACAGCAGTAACATGAACTTGAATGGAGGCGTTAAATGAGAAGATCATGTTTTGATTCTAATTAAGATTCTAAAATCTGATTTTTAGCCAACTTGTTGTTGGTGAAAAACAGCAATGCCATAAATAAAATAGCCACAGATGGACCTGGATATTTGTTATGAACAACCATCAAAAAATGCTTTTAATTGATTGATACTGAATAAAAGTAGTATTCAGCCAAAACCTCACCACTAGCCTTGCAATTATTTTTTTAACCAGTTCACCACTACATTCCAGGGGAACTTCAAGACATCCTACTGAGGGGCCTGGTACGACCTCTACACCTGATATGTGTTTCACTTTGCATACCAAGCCTGAAATTGTTCATGAAAATTAATCGCTTTTATACTTGCAAAAACCTGGCTGGAAAGGAACCTAGATGTGGTCTGGGATTCATTTTTAAAGTGAACAATCTTCAGAGAACCCGGGATTGGATCATACTTAGAAATAATATGGTCTGTCATTGTTTGTACGATGAGAATGACTGTTGCAAAGCCAATGCTATTTTCAGGGAACTTATCCAGAGGATGCAGAAAGAAGAAACAGACCTTAAACTCTAAAAGCATTTAACATTTTAATTGGTTTCTGAATAATTAAACTCTGGTATAATTTGAGAAAGCATCTCAAACATTTATCATATCAGAGCAAAAGTTACCCAAGTATGATTCAATTCAAAGAGATGCATATTTTTAAATACCTATGATACAATCAGCTTGTTTTTGTTTTTAGAGAAACAGAAAACATGAGTTTGGTTCTAAAAATGCCTTCATGGGAGTAGAGGAGGAAATATAATTGCTACACAAATTGTATGGATTCTCCAGAGGAGTTAGCTATGATTTCTTTCTCTGATGACAGTGATACTTTTCACCTTTACATGCCAACTAACTAGAAAAAAATTTCCATGCTTGGAAGTGTGATAGAGGAATTGGAAATAATCAGTGTCAATTAGAAAGACCCTGGACATCATTGGGAATGCCTATTGGAAGGGATAAGAGCATGCTAGAAACAGATGGCTTGGGTGAGAATCTCCCTTTGTCTCTTCTAGCTTCCTGTAAGATATATAACATCTCTATGCCTCGGTTTCCTCATTTGCAAAATGGGGATAATAATAGCAGTACATAGTGCATATGACTACAACCAGGATTACATAACAGTATCTGGAAATCTCTTAGATCAATGCCTGTGACATAACCTTTAAATCCAAAGCACATGAACCAAATTGCATTGAATCAGAAGTTTCATGAAGATTTGAGATGGGAATGAGAACTGAATAAGCCATATCATAAGAGGCTGTGATCAGAAATAAAATGAGGTATGTTTTGACACTTAATGACATCCTAGAAGATTGGGCGGCAGCAAGATGTACACACGTGTCTGCAGAAAATGTGGTAAGGAGGTGGGGGGTTGGGCAAGGGAGATCAATCTCACAGCTTTCAATTAGGATTCTGTGGGCGGGGAAGAAAACTAGAATTTGCAGGGAAGGAACTGGCTGATATTATTATTATTTTTTTGATGCAGCATTTCAGAAAACATAATCAATGGCATGCGTCCAGTTCCCATTTAGTAACCAAAGAACTAGCTGCAGCTGTTTTTTATGCCTGGTGGTGCCAGTTTGATAGTGTATAATCATATTTGCATAAAGATAAAAAGGAAGGTGTTATAGAACACAGTTAAGCCTATGGTTTCACCATGAATTAAAGGTAATTTCAGACTAATTAGGTATAATTTGTTAAGGAATTCTTCCCAGCAATGATGACTCTGATTTTGTAATTACAGGACAATGCTTACTGTGGCTTTCAAGGCAGAAGAAAGCACACCCGAGGGGGTCGTGTCCCACACTAGGCAGATCTAATGGTGCCACAAAAGACAGGTGTTTTGTCAGAGTTCAGCCACACACTTTCACACCTGCAACGCATTAACTACCGCAGCAATGTTAATGAAGACCAGGTGCCTGTTCTCCAGCTTAAATGAGGAACTGGCATGAGAGTTGCTGTTTGCTACCTGACGTCTATCCCTGAGTCTCTGAACGCTGTCCTTCTGATAGAAGGGGAAGGTGAGTGGGGTAACAGGCCTTTGAGTACTTTCTGCTTTGGTCCTTTCGAGCTGTGGGATGGAGACACTGAAACACTGGCCTTCGCATTATGGTAGTGACCTCTTTACCCATCCATTGAATTCCCCGTCAATTCCCTCCCTAAAATAGTGGAAAACATTCTTACAGCACTAAGTATCTCCAGGTTTTCTGTGCTGCTATGCCTTTTGTGGCAGAGTTCGCTCTGAGAGTCCTGAAAATAGCTGATCTGCACAGTCTACAAAATGGATTTCTGGAAAGTGCTGTGTTATCAGCTGCTACCAGGGAAAGCTTGATTGTAGCTACTTGAGTCTTTTCAAACTTGAAGTTTTGCCATTCCATCCGGAAATGAGTAATGGAGGCCTTGAGCAAGCCTTTTCACTTTAATAAAACACAAGGTTTTCATTGTGTGGGGCTACATCATTTTAATGCTCTCTGTTATGAAATACAAAATCTTTTTCTTCCTCCCTGACGAAAAAAACTCAGCGGCAAAGCTTTTTCTCTCCTCTTTTTTCCTCCTCTTCTTTGTTTAACCACTTTGAGCTGCAGTTGTCTGCTCCCTGCAATTTCCAGCAGTTAAGTAAAAAGTTAATATTGTTTCAAACACACACACACACACACACACACACACACACACACACACACTGAAATTGAAAGTGAGGGAAAGAATGAGCAGGTCTAGGTTCTCAGCGGTGGAATATAATTATCTAAGTCATTACCAGTGACTTCTGGCCCGTGACAAAACAGTCTCTTCACCCTGGGAGATGGAAGGATGGACAAATATCAAAATGTTAGACACTGTATTTAAATTTCAGGTCCTAATCAAGTTAAAAAAAGAATGGAATCACAGACTTTGAGTCGTAGATCTGTGTGGGAAAAGGATGGTTCAAATCCAGATTTCTTTAACTCTTTAGTCCCTGAAGTAAATATATTGAGGAAACTTTCAGAAATGGTCACACTCTTGAGGTGACCTGCTAGTAACAGATCCAAACCATTCATTCCAGGTCATTCTGCAGTGGTTTTCAAGGTGTGCTTGCAATTAGCTTACATAAGATTTGCAAGAGGCTCCCTTGAGGTATCAATATAGCTGGGGAGGTTCCAGAAATCTCTGGCTTTCCCTTTCCATGTTCCTGCACCAGCAAGTAAAGCAATTTTATTTTTCAATTTACTTTATTAATTTGGTGTTTACCAATGACTTAATATATTATTTTTTTTGTATGTATACCAAAACCTTTGGCTATATCTGCCAAAGAATACCCTATCGTATGGCAGAAAACACTTGTGCCTCTATCAAGTACTCAAGTATTTGAGCAAATCCAAATTCTTCAGGTAGACAGTGTTAGCCTTATATGCAGATTCTCGTGAAGGCCACTCCTATGCACAAGTGCTGAGGGATTTGGACAGAGTCGGAAATCATGTCATGTTTTCAGTGTTTCTAGCAAACTTCATGTCTAAAGCAAATGAATTCTTAACGAATGCTGCTAAACATTTGGACTGTAGGTACTGACCAGGAAACTCCATTTCAAATCCATGACTCCCCAGTCTTATTAAAAGGCAACTGAGATCACTGACATTTGAGATATTATCTCAGGCTTTACTTTTCCATGTATGATCTGTGGACTGGTAGCAGTGACATAATCTGAGAGCTTGTCAGAAATGCCAGATCTCAGGCCCCAACTCAGACTTTCTAAATCACAATCTACATTATAAAAACTCCTGTGTTGCTGCCTATTAAACTTTAAATAACATTGTAATCATGTGTTCTTCTAGATCAGAAATTCTTAATTTGGGGTCCAGAGTCCACAAATTGGCCTCAGGTATATGAATTTACTGCAAGTAAATGCAAAATTGAATCTGTGTGGAGGTGTGACTATGTATATTTGCATTTTAACCTATAGATCCTTTTTTTTTGGTAAAGAGTGTTTATAACTTTTCAGCTTTTCAAAAATGTTTCAAACTATGAAAGTAAAAGACTACTTCTTTATCGTGGCCATGCACTTCTCTCAGTAGCGTGCTGGGACAGAACTCCAGACATAAAAATGCTATCATAAAATTATAATTGAATTTTCTGAGCTTCTGCTGAGTGTAAAACTAAATTGTTTTTGCATCTTCTGCAAACAGCTGTTCAAGTTTGTTCACAGTGTTGTTCAGTGTCACTTATCAGAGTTTTAGGGCATTAAAAAAAGAAGCGTCCGATGGACCATGATGCTGCTTTTTGTCAGACAATGAGCACTCTAATTTCCTGTCTCCTCCCCACTCCTCCCCCACGTTTTTATGTACAAGGTTCAAAAAAGCTCAGAACTATTATAAATATGGCATTCAATTACAAAACTCTCCAAAGACAAAATTTCTGGGAGAGGTCTGGGAAATAGTTAATGAATACTGCACAGCAGTAACAATTGAAAGTGCTGGAAAAATAAGAATTGACAAGGATGAAAAATGGCATTTAACACAGAGGGCTAAGAATTAAAGTACATACCTAGTAAGGGTTGGACTCTGTTTTCTTGCTTCTTGGTCTCCCATATCATGTATAGTGTCTGGCCATAGCTATTTGGAAAATATCTTTCATCAAACAAATACTTACTAAATGCCAACTATGTGGTAATGTGGAATTGTAATTAAGAGATATCTTAAAATCAGTCTGTCTGGATTTCAATTCCAGCTCCACTCTTCAAAGCTACAGGATCTTCTTCCTGTGTCTAAATGAAGATAATAGCACCTAATCTATAGGCCTGCGACAAGGGTTATATTAGTTAATGCATGTAAGTTCTTGAAACAGTTCCTGTCATGTAGTAAGCACTCAGTAAGTAGTGACTATTACTAGGTACCTGGCACTCCTCTAAGCTTTGGGGAAATGAGAACATGAAAAATACCATCCTAGATCTCATAGGTCTCTTATCAAGGAAAAAATAGATATTCAATAATAAATTTTACAATTCATTACTGTAAATTGTGATACATGCTACGGATGGAGAAGTACAAGCTGCTTTTAGGAAGACCTGACCAGAGATGGAAGGTCAAGAAGTCTTCCCTGAGGAGGTGAGTTTAGGTGAAGGGGAATAGGGAATGGGAGAGAGAGGGAGCCAGGTCCAGGGGGCTGGAGCTCAGCAAGTTGTCAGCAAAGTGTGTACAGGAAGCCAATGACGTAGACAGGGTCTGGGTCATGCTGCACCTTCTGGAGAGTCTTGGCCTTTAAGAAATTTTTAGGTGTACAGAAAGGGTTTTAATCAAGGGAATGATATGAATGGATTTAAGTTTTTAATGTATCTCTTCAACAGGCATGGGGAAAATTGATTATAAGTAAAATAAGAGTAACTGTGGAGACATGAGTTAGAAAGCATTTACTAACTTATGAAAGAATTAATTGTAGCATTTTGTAGAATGTTAGCAGTGAAAGAGAAGTGGATGAATTGGAGAAACATTTAGTAGGCATAGTTAAGGAGGACTTGGGGCTTGACAGAGTCCTGATCGAATTGTATTGTGCTTTTCCTTTTTTTTCTTCTTCAAGACAATAGGAAACATTCAAAAGTGACTTTATTTCTTTATTTTTCCTTCAATTTGTAGACACAGACCTATCTACTCTCACAGGCTTCCTTTAGCTTCATATATGACCCTTTGCATCCTCCCATAGATCCGTATAAAATTCATATTATAAATAACCTTCTTATGTAAGACTGCTTCTGTTCATTTCAGGAGGAAATTCATTTATGCTTATATGACAAAGGCTCTCTTCTCTGTTGACACTTCTTGAAAGCTTTTGAAATTCTTTGAGGGGTAAGTAGGACAAGATAAATTCTTACTTTTTCCTTTCTTAGAAGGACTATAACAATGTATTCTCATCATTGTGATATACACACAGGATGTTAGTTATTATCCATCTCCACCTGCTCAATGTTGAAAAGGTGGGGGAAAACCCACCCCTTCATTAAGCAGGTGGAGAAGGATAATAACTAACACTCTGTGAGTAAAATCTTTGCTTTTGTTTTCCTTGGGGGATATAAGCAGTGAAGAGCCCAGTTGTTCAGAATTCCTGGTGTTTTTACTTTTCACATATTATACATTTGAACATATTTAGTCTTAATCCAGGAGTTCCATTTCCTTATTTCATTGTGGAGGGGTTGACATGATAACAACTGTTATTTCCCCCCAGAGAAAAAGAAGATAGTTATAAGAGGAACTAAGAACATATCAAGTAGGTTACAATATTAAGAGTAACAAAATGGTAATTACAGATGACTATTAGAGAAGCTAGCACTTACCAGGTGCCTGTAACCACCTTCTGAGGATTATTATTCCAAGTTGCCTAGGAAACCAAGGCACTCCATTAGGTTTCTGCTGGCCCTGATCTTAAGGCAGCACTCGCCCCTTGGTTTTATGGGATTCTTCTGGCTCTCTTTTACCCTATACCCCATAATCCCACCTCTGTTTCTATGCAGAACTGTCTGTCCTTAAATATTGTGTTGCCTACTTTCTTCTCCAGACCACTTTCTTCTGTCCTCCCATTCCCTGAGGCTCTTCTCTTTAAGGTGATGGCCAGGAAATCAGAGAAAAGAATACATTGGCATGTGAATAATTCTTTTCCTTTGCGTTGGCATTGTATGAGAACACAGTGAAGAAACCCCAGGGTGTGCCTCTGATACACAGACAGTGCAGCACCTTGGGATGCAAAGATGAGCAAAAATATTTTTCAGACCCTATTAAATGATGTCCTATTGATGGCACTCATGGCTCAATAATCTGTTGGTTTTTTATTTTTCTTTCTTTCTTTCTATTTATTTATTTATTTTTTGGTCAGTCAATGAGAGCATGTAACATTGCTCAGGTTGGCCTTGAACTCATGGCCTCACCTCCTCAAGCACCAGGACAATTGGCCGGAGCCACCGTGGAGGGTTTTGGGTTCCTGGCCCTCACCCAGACTGGGTTTGCACAGCCCTGAAGTCTGAGCTGAATTCTGCCATCTCTCCAGCAGCACTTAATTGTTTTTAATTATCCCTCCACCGAAGCTGAACCATCTCTCACCCAGGTCACACCACAGAACATGGCTCATAAGTTTTACGAGCCACCTTGTGTATCCCATCCATGTGTTCAGCCACCTTTTCCGACCGTGAACAATCCATCAGCCAGCTAGCTCTGTCCCTGAAAGGATCTGGATGCTGAGAGTGAGAACAAGCTGTTCTTGGTGCCACTATGTTGACAACCATTGTACCAGGAAGCCTGGAGATGAACTTGAGATTTGAATTTTAAATCTGAAGGTTGCACATGAATTGAACTTTGAAATGGTCTTCCTTTTTTACGCCTATGAACATAATCAAATTTGAGAAAACTAAAGGGGTTTGGATTTCCTAAGTCCAATTCTTTTGCTAAGCTGTGAGTTCTCACTCTGAATCTCTAGTGAGATCTTAAGCACCAGGTCTAAGTCCTCAATTGAACTTGGTAAATACTTGTAAAAAATAAATGAAAAGCCCAATATTTATGGGCAGCTTGCATAGTGAGGGTCCTTACTTATAAGAGAATTAAACAGAAACCTGTAAGATCCAAAATGTATCTTCCACTGACCCTGTTTAGTATCTCAACGTAGGTGTCTTCAATTCCTCCCTCCCTCCCTCCCTCCCTCCCTCCCTTCCTTCCTTCCTTCCTTCCCTCCTTCCTTCCCTCGTTTCTCTGAGTAAAGCTTAGAGAAGGGAAGTGAAGAGTTCCCAAAGGGGCTCAATGGCTTAATTCTGACAATTTTGACTTTTTTCCCTTTCTAGATTGACCATAAGGGCATCCAGGAATATGCGTCTGTTTATCTGTAAAGGATACTAAGTCAAGGTACAACTGATAGATACACCTCTCCTCACATAAATTGATTAGCTAGTTGTCTCAAGTAGGGCCTGGTAAGAGCAGTGTTTCCCAAAGAGGGTTATGGGTACCATAGATATAGGCAAGATGGCTTTTAGTGATCCCCAAATTAATGCCTTTTTATTGTTCTATCATTTATTATTCTCTTCTATTGCTTGCAAGTGATACTGGTTTCCATTTAGCAATGATGAAAAGTTTCCATTAAAATATATTTTAATTAAGGAAAGTAAGTCATTAAAAGAAAAATATGAATAACAATACCAGGAAGTGATAACTGAAAATGTCAAGTCATGAAAGATGCTACATAAGTGATTAGACTTTGGGAATCTCTGGGATAGAAGATGCAGCGATTTGAATAAAGGCCACAGGTAGCTACAGAAGGCAACGCACTCAGAGGAAGGTGTGGGGTGGGAATGGAAAGAAGCAGAGGGGTATCTACACCTGCTAGCATAAAAGCGTGCAAGGGAACTGACAGGAGGCTGATGTCTGCAAGCAGTCCCCTTCTTGTGGAGGAGCAGTGGTTTCAGAATGAAGCATGGTGAGGCCACCTGGTGTGGTGAGAGAGATCTCCACCCTCCTAAATACCCAGCTCCCTGGGGAATGTCTGCACCAGCCCTGGCAGCATAGAGCTCCAGGATTTTTTCAGCTGGCTATTTCCCTACCCTCTCCTACATCCCAACACCATTTCCCCATTTTCAGTTCCACCGGAGAGATTCCTCAAGGCCTTGAGTACTTCAGATGAAATGATTTTGACAGCAAAATTGCTTTATGCTCACCAGAGAATGCCCTATCCACTTGGAAATAAGGCCTATTTGAATTCGCCCCCTTTGTCCTTCCAAATGTCACTGGATGAGGGAGAGGACTTGGCAGAAGAATGCAGTCGGTTTTGGCAGAAGCGTCCAAAAGTCTCAGACCCCCTGATATACAATGTAAGCTGTGGAAGTGTCCAGTCTTTGAGTCTGTGTGCCTCTGTGGGAGTGTGGGTGGAGTGGGGGTATGGGTTTGGGTGCATGTTTGTGTAAACCATGAAAAAGAATCTTTGTTGGAATAAAGAAAGGCATACAACAGGGATCAGCTAGACAGTCAACCCTGAGGGAGGGAGGGAGGGAAGGAAAGGGAAGACTGTAGCCAACTCCAAATCAGTAAATGCAAATTGCAGCAGAAGGTTGACCTTTTACTGTAACCGAAGTCAGCTGCAGGTTGTAAACCTCATGCCATTAATTATAACCCAACATACCTCTGGTGGGCTTTCCCATTGGCCTTGATCTCTCTCATCCTCCCTCTCCACCACTTCCATCCTTAGTCTCCACTCCATTGAAAGGCTCATGTTGCAGTCTGCACTCGGAGATGAAATGTCTTTAAAAGTAATGGGTCTTACAGGGCTGGAGTCAATTCTATGCATTTCACTTTTTTGCAAAAGAAATTGTCTTGTGTTGAAGACTGAGATGATCAGAGAAGGCCCATTAAGAAAAATTAGCTGAAACTTAGATAAACAGGGTCCTTAACCAAAAAAGTAAAACATTCAACAGAGAATGGAATGTAATAATGCACCCTCACTCTCCTTTTGGAAAATGTTTGCAAGGATTTTTGTTGCATGACTCGAAACCTACAAAAATACAATTTAAAAGTAGACATATAAAGGAAATATAACCCAGAGAAATCTGTGTACAGGTCAAGAAAGAAACTTGGATAATTGGTCTAAGAATAATTTGAAAATTCTGGGCCCTTCTTTCTGTTTCATTTCTTGTTGGATTGTTTTAGAAAATGAGTATTCACTTTGTGTGAGAATCTTTGGTTTTTACCTCAGTTAAAAGAATGGAAAACTGCAGACAGACATTTTATACACACAGCACTGGCTGTGCATGACATATGTGGTTGCACAGAGTCCTGTGCTTGGAAGGGGCCGACTGCGGTGGTTTACTCCTGTAATCCCAGCACTTTGGGGGGCCTAGGTGGGTGAATCAAAGGTCAAGAGATTGAGACCATCCTGGCCAACGTGGTGAAACCCCGTCTCTACTAAAAATATAAAAATTAGCTTGGTGTGGTGGTGTTTGCCTGTAGTCCCAGCTATTCAGGAGGCTGAGGCAGGAGAATCGCTTGAACCTGGGAGGAAGAGGTTGCGGTGAGCCGAGATCATGCCACTGCACTCCAGCATGGTGACAGAGCAAGACTCTGTCTCAAAAAAAAAAAAAAAAAAAAAAAAGGGAGCTGTACTTAGTTCAATGCTCTGCTGTGAACATCCTGAAGCCCTGAATAACCTGAAATGTATAACCCACATTTTCATTTTGTATATTATGTAGCCCTTCTGGTATAGAGGCACTGGAAAGTGAAAGCTATAAATGGCTGGTGAAGCCAATACAAAACTTGGAAAAGATTGATGTCTTCTGGGCTAATATCGTTTGTGGAAGTAGTTAAAATTTAGAATAAAACAAACGTGCTGAGGCTGGTCTTCCCTTAAAACACAAAGTTGTACAATTATCTCAACCATGTTTTGGTACTGGGAATAATTAACTGACCCATAGAACACCAGATTTCCC